GTGGCAAAAGCGGCTTTTAAAAGAAGCCTGAGCGCATGCACATTTCCGCTGCCTGCCGTGTGGCAGGTCTGCAGCCTCCGCTGAATCTGACCCTGTTCCTGAATTTTCTCTCCAGATGTGAAATGTGTCTTGAGCCGTGTTTTGTCACTTAAGGTCCGATTGTTGTTTTTGCAGAGTTTTGGGGTGACATTGCCAAGGAGTTTTACTGGAGGACCCAACCCTCGGGATCCTTTCTGAAATACAACTTCGATGTGACAAAAGGGCCCATCTTTATCGAATGGATGAAAGGGGCTACCACCAACATCTGCTACAACCTGCTGGACAGAAACGTCAACGAAAAGAAACTTGGGGACAAAATTGCTTTTTACTGGTAACGATCTGCTTTTAGTATCGTGTCGTGTCTGTGTCGTGCTGGGGCGGTGCTGCTCGGCCTGTGGCCGTGCATCTCGGGGGCTGCGGGCCGGGGCCGAGGGGGCTGCCCGAGTGACAGGAAATAAGTTGGAGATCCCATATTGTGTTAATTCAGGCTGGGTGAGGAAACCTGCAGCTAGGAGTTTCTTGCGGGGGAGAGGATACGGCTCAGTTGCTCGTCACCGGGGACTGTGTGCAGTTGGCTGCTGTTGAAGTTTGCAATGGAAGACACTGTCGCAATGTGGCCAGGCTGGAGACCAGAGCCGAGTTGGTGGCATGCCATGGTGAACCCCCTCGCAGCAGCAGAACTGTTGCTTTCTCAGAGCACGGAGCAGCCGTTTTCTCTCTGGTCTCCTGCCTCACTCAGTCCCTTGGCAGTAGGACCCGCTTTGTCGGTAGCAGGAGCAGAGGCTGTAGCCACCTGTTCCAGTTTCTTCCCCTTGCAGCTCGTTCCTGGGCATCTCCTGCTCCAGGAACAATTGACAGTCTTTTTATTGACGCCTCTTCCTGCGCCTGCCTCACAAGCCATAGAAACCCCCCCGTGCCGGATCGTTCGGTAAAACCCCCAGGTGCGTAGCAGTTAGTGCTCGGCGCTGAGGCTCGCTAGGTCCCAGGGCGGTCACTGCCCGGTATTTTGAGGTGTTAAACGTAACAACCCATCGGGAGGCAAAACTCGAGTTCCCGGACACTGCCTCGGCCTCTAAGTCCAAAGGGGAAGTGTGGCCTTGCAGGGCTCATGGTGTCTATTCCGCTCTGGGGGTGCGCGCCCGTAGCGCGACTCCTCTCGCACCACAGCAGCGCCCGTGTGGGTAAGTAGGCGGGGAGCCAGCCTGCCCCTCGTGCAGCTGCAGGGACAGCCCTGGAGAGCCAGGCAGCTGGGAGGGGGCTGGGGAGCGAGGCCGTGGGCTGAGCAGTGAGGCGTGGCAGGGGAGTGGTGGCCTGTTGGAGGCAGGGGAGAGGTGGCAGAGCTCGGAGGCTCCTGCACCTGCTGGCTCTGATCACGCTCAGGCGGTTTGGTTCCTTGTGTTCTTGGGCACAAAACATGAATCATCCTTAAAAGGGGGAAGTGACGATCACAAACTGGCGGTTTTACTTCAGCTCTGTTTAAAAAAGCCTGCGGCCGTTGCAATGAATGGCCTTGCAAGTCTGAGCCGTGGGGGGACGTGAATGGCTGCGTTACGAAGGAGCAAATATCGGGGGGAATTGGAGAGAGAAAGCATCTGGCAGGATCTCCACATTTATTCTGAGAGGTGGGAGGGGGCTCCACTCCCAGGGCGCGCCCCTCTGTGAGCCCAGCCTGCGGGCGGCTGTTTCCTGCGTTGCCTCCGTGCTCTGGGCTTGGGATGCTGCCGCCCTCAGACGCGGGGCGTCCCGGGCTCTGGAGGAGGAGAGCAGAGGGGCCCGGTGCCCGTAAGGAAGGGTCTGTGCACATGGAGCGCCCAGGCACCGCTGGCTCTGCCCAGCCCCCACACTCGCGGTGAAGAGCGGAGCTGTGTCCTCGCCTGCCAGTCCCCCCGGCATGTCCATCCCAGCACTGAGTGACTGAGCGAGGGGCCAGGCAAATGGATTGCCACACGGCGGTCCGTTTGCTGCTCCAGCTGAGTTAGTGGCAGCTTAGGGGAGGAGAAATGCTTCCCTGGCAGGAGAGACTTTCAGTTGTGGGTCGGACTGGGCCTGTACAGACATTTACGAAGCTCTTTGCTCTGGGAACGGCCGTCCATCCCCGGAGCTGCAGCCGGAGGCGCGAGCTGCAGATGTGGGGCAGGCAGGCGGGGCTTTCTGGCTCTTGGGATGCGCACAGTCCGATGGTGCCTTTGCCGTGACGTTCTCATGTGGTCTGGTTGCAGCGCCCCTGTTAAGTGGTACCTGCATGGCAGCTCTTTGGCCCCACGCTGATGGCTGAGGGCGTGTCTATGGCCAGCACTTTCCATGCGGCTTCACCAGGTGTGTGTGGTTTGTGTGTTCTGGGAGAATTTGGGTGGCTATTCAGTGCTGCTGCTCCCCGGGGAGAAGCACTGCACCAGACCCCTGGTTTCTCGCTTTCACTCGAGTGAAACAGTAGAGCTTTCCCTGAGCCGTCAGACCAGCCAGACCGGGTCAGAGCAGTGGTCCATCTAGCCCCGTGTCCTGTCTTTCAGGCTGGTGCTTCTGGCAATTGGAGGGTTGCCATTCTTTTAAACCCAGTTAGCTGTTGGCCCTCGCAACATCCCATGGCAATGAGTTCCACAGGTTTGTTCCATGTTGTGGAAAGTGCTGCTTCCTTTTGGTCACTTTCTCCTCCCTTTGATGATTTTATAAATCTGTGTCACATACCTCCTCAGTGGTTTCTTTTCCATCCCAATCTTTTTAATCTCTCCTTGTGTGGAAGCTGTTCCATACATCTGATTGTTTTCATTCCCCTTCTCTGTTGATCGTTTGCAATTCTAATCTAACTGCACCCAGTATTCCTGGGTTTAAACAGCAGCTCTAGATTTTGCTCTTTTTTTATTTAACTCTTTCCTACCATTGTTCGGTGTGTTGGACTGCTGCTGCACCTTGACTGGATGTTTTCAGAGAACTGTCCACAGTGACTTCGGGATGTCATCTTTGACTGGTTACAGCTAATTTAGACTCGTTGTTTACTACAGCGCTAGTCACCAGGCAACTGCATTTCCATTCACTTCAGTGCCCCGTACAAGAAAAGGGGCTAGGGAAGGGCTGCAGAGCTGTCCCAGTTCCACTTTCCAGCGTCTCCAGATGTGGCTGCCAGGCAGAGGGTGCCCCAAACCCACTCCTGACCCAGGGCGCCCTCACAAATCCAAAACAGGCTCCAGTACTGCCCCGCTTTCGCAATGTCTGGGGTCGCCTTGGCAGCCTTTCGGCTAACGCTGTGACGTTAGCTGTTCTCTTCTGGCCTCCAGGGACGGAGGTTGCGGGAGGTGATAGGTCACAGAAGTTCCTCCAGAGCTCGTGGGTGAATTCCATGTGGTCCTGGTTACTCTTTAGCTGGTTCCAAAACCTTCTCTTGACACTTAGCTCTTGGACAGTCCCTTAGATTTGTCATTTAAGAAATGTCAGAAGCCTCCCGTCCCGTGAGCAGTGATTGTGAAAGCAGGCTGAACGGGACGTGCGTGCCCAGCCCCGTGCAGCTCTGCAGCCCTTCCCTGGCACCTTTTCCTGCAGGGGGCACTGAAGCGAACGGAAATGCAGTTGCCTAGTTCTGTAGCATTGGGAGGAGGGATAGCTCAGTGGTTTGAGCATTGGCCTGGTAAACCCAGGGTTGTGAGTTCAATCCTTGCGGAGGCCATTTAGGGATTTGGGGCAAAAATCTGTCAGGGATGGTGCTTGGTCCTGCTGTGAAGGCAGGGGACTGGACTCCATGACCTTTCAAGGTCCCTTCCAGTTCTAGGAGATAGGCAATCTCCATCCATATCCTCCAAGTAAATATCTGTACTTGCTGTTACATCCACCTCTGTCCTCAGCAGGAGGACAGGTACTGCTGAGCTGGGAACATAGGGTGTCACTGTAACCATTAGAGTAAGGAACCAACGGAGCAGTTCACCAAAGGTTATGGTGGATTCTCCATCACGGGCAACTTTTCAATGAAGGGGGGAGTTTTTCTAAAAGCTCTGCTCTAGGAACTGTTGGGGGCAGCTCTCTGGCTTGTGTTGTGCCATTGGCTCTTGTGGAGTCGTCTGTCCTTGGAATCGGAAGCCAGAGAAGAAACACACGGCCCTTCCCAGGGCTGGTGGGTGGGCTGCCTAGCGAACAGGAGCAGCCAATGGGTGTTTGGTGAGCGACTTCTCCAGGGAAAGGGGGAGTGATCACGTGCCCCGGGAGCAAGTGGCTGTCTGGAGTGTGTGTTTGAATGATACCGTGTGCTGAGAGCTGCAGGGGGTCGGGCCCCAGTGGGGTGACGCGCGGGAGAAGGGAGGAGGAGGAGAAACTCGGAGCAGCCGGGTCGTTGCCAGCGCTGGAGGGGTCTGTCCTGGGCTCCGTGTGGGGCAAGGCTCAGGGCTGACAGGCGCCCGACGAACCAGGGCAAGGGGCCGGTGAGGAAAGTAAGAGTCGAAGCGTGGCTGCTGGGGGAGAGGCGGGGAGCCAGCCGGCCGGGAAGAGGGGAGCTGAATTTCTGCACATTGTGATTTCGGAGGCTTTGGGTGCTCGGCTCAA